GGCTCGCTCTGTCACTCTGGCTGGAATGCAGTGACATGATTGTAGCTCACTGCAGCCTTGAACTCCTGGTCTCAAGCAATAGCTCCCCAGTAGCTGGAATTATAGGTATGAGCTACTGCGCCAGGCCCTGATTGTCCTTAAGCTTCCATCCATTTGGGTCTTTCCCCCTTGGAATGCTTGGGATAGAAGAATGTAGCTGGCCTCTGGCTAGAGCTCCAGTTTAACCCTGAGGGGAAGCTCTGGAATGTCTCTCTTTGTCACCCATGGAAAAGGAGGCCCCAGCCACCATGGCTCCTTTACCCTCTCCCAGAGTTGCCTTCAGGTCAGGCACAGCTCTGAGCAGTGCTGAGCAGGTCCGGCTCTGCAGGCTCCTCGCCATGAGGCCTCAAAAGCTCAGGCTGAGGCAGGAGGAACACTTGAGCCAGGTGTTCTTCGAGGTTGCAGTGAGCTGTGATCGTGCCACTGCACTCCAGCCTGGGCAACAGAGTGAGACCCTGTCCATTCCTCATCCATAAAATGGGCATAATGATTTCTCCCATGTTGTGGGGACAAATGAAATTCTGTGTCAGCTGCTTATGGGGGCACCTGGCAAGTCATGCACTCTCTGCACTTGAGCCAGGAGTTCTCCGTTGCCTCTTGTTTTTCTGGCATAAAAATCATCTGGGAACCTGACAAACACTACCTCGGCCAGATGATCCGTCAACACCAGCAGTCGTAAATTATGTTGGTAGTGCATACACTGGATATGGTGTGATAGAATTGGCCCTTAACCTCTGTGATCTTTCTTCCAATAACCCATAACCCAGCCATATCATGAGAAAACATGGGACAGATTTCAGTAGTGGGGCAACCTACAGAATACCTGACCAGTACTCAAAACTGTCAAAGTCATCAAAAGCAAGGAAAGTCAGAAACTGCCGCAGCCAAGAGGAGCCTAAAGAGACACGGTGACTTAAGTGTAGTAAGGTCTCCCGGCTGGGATCCTGGAACAGAAACAGGGAATTAGGAAAAAACTAAGGAAACCTAAATAAACCACGAGCTGGGCGCGGGTGGCTCACCCCTGTAATCCCAGCACTCTGGGAGGCTGAGGTAGGAAGATCACTTGAGCCCAGGAGTTTGAGGTTGCTGTGAGCTATGGTGATGCCACTGCACTCTACCCAGGCAGCAGAGACCCTGTCTCAAGGAAAAAAAAACAAAAAAAAACAAACCTTCACAGCAACATTTAAACTAGTGTGTGACCTAGATCTGGGCACCATGGCCTAGCTAACCGACCCCCTACATGATGTCTGTTTTTCATTTAGGGACATGGTGGGTACTCTCTGTGGAAGGGCCCTGTGGGATTGAGCACCTGGGTTTCCAGCCCTGCCCTTTCCTCCACATGCGTGAACTGGACAAGTTTACTACTCACATTGGTGAGTCGGTTTCCTCACCTGTCAGATGATAGTGCCTCTCCCATATAGGTAACAGGATGAGCCCAGAGCCACAGGGCCGACACTTACAGAGAGTGTGCCCCATCCCAGGCGCTGGGCTCACAGCAGTTAACAGATCCGATCTCATTTAATCTTCAACAGGCCTAGGATTTAGGCACTGTGGTTATCGCTGCTTTACAGATGAGGAAACTGAGGCATGACAAGGGCAAATAACATGCTCAAGGATACCCAGTGTTATGGCCTGAATGTGTCCCCCCAGAATTCATATATTGAAATCCTAACCTCTGAGGCGACGGTATTAGGAGGTGGGGCCTTTGGGAAACGATTAGGTCATGAAGGTGGAGCCCTCATAAATGGGATTAGTGCCCTTATTAAACAGACCCAAAGGATCTCATTTGCCCCTTGCAGCATGTGAGGACAGTGAGAAGGCGCCCTCTGAGCCGGGAAGTAGGCCCCCACCAGATGCCAAATCTGCCAGTGCTTTTTTTTTTTTGGTAGAAATGTTAATAGTCAAGTAAACAAATTTATTAAATCCAATAGCAGATAACCTTCCAAATAAAAAAACATTAAAAGAAAAAAATAATGTAGACATCAAAGACAAAAATGTTTGTAACAAGTTAGTAAAAATATTCAAGGGGCCATTTGGAGAGTGCAACAGTGCAGAATACAAACAAAAGTATTCACCTTTGTCGAGTTTGTACAACCTCAAGAAACAGACACACTAGTCACGAACCAAGAGGATCCACAAAGGTGGAGGGTCACGTGAGCAGTGGACTCATCACCTCAGGGGCTTAGGCAGGGTCTCTGTGGGACCAATTCCTCCAAGCCCCATTTGCCCTATTGCTTCACATTCCCCTTTGAATTAGTGCAGCAGTAAGAGCAATTACAGACTGGGAGCTGGGGACCAGGTTCAGAGGGAAGACACTTCTCCCAGAGAAGTGTGTGTGCGTGCGTGTGTGTGGGTGGGTGGCGGGGGGGATCCACAGCAGCTGCTGAATGGCTTCCTTTGGCAATATCCAAGATTTGTGTTCAAAGTATCAGGAAAAGAAGATGCGTGGTAGAAGTAGGCATCTGAGAGCAGGCTGGGTTTCCAAGAAGAGAGGAATAGGGAGGACACAGTGCCCTAGCACCTGAATCAGAAGCAAAACCCAATGGTTGCTCAAAGCTATTCAAACCACCTTGGCTTCTGCAACCAGTGCCCAGGCATCTGCTTATTTCATCCTTCAGAGGGGGTGGGGGGCAACCCTGCTGATCCTCCCCAAGTCCTGATTCAACTGGCTATGTGTTATTTCAAATACCATGGGAATAAACTCTGAAGGGGGGTTAGGGGGCTGGGAACCCCGTTTAATGACTCAGAAAACATTGTGGAGCAAGAGGAGGGTCAATGTCACATGTCCTCAAATGAGTCCCAGCTAACACACTTAAGTAACTTTAATAGTCCTTTCAGCCATTTAAACAAGATATTGCTGTAGTCCCCCAAGGAAGACCTTTGTCAGTTACCAAGAGGTTCAAGTCATAACTAACCAAACATAGGAGACACAAGAAAAACAGCAAAGCAGGCAACTTAAAAAAAAAAAAGCAAAAAACCCTAGCAGCAGCTCTCTTCCAGCCTTTATCTTAGAATTGTGTAATTACTCTACCTTTGGGGCTTCGCTACACTGAAATTTCATTGGAAATATTGCAAAATAAATAGTCCTAAACAGGTATGTTTTGGATTGTAAACTTTTAGACCAGTCCTTATCCCAGTAACTTCCCACCAGGGTTTAACACAAGTTGGCATGGCGTATGTAGTATATGACGCCATCAGGTGAACTATGGCACGCAACACTTGCAGCCTCCAGCACCGAGGACGAAATTTTGGCACCAACCCCTGGGAGATAGTACTGTTTCGAAGACTGACACTGTGTTGCTTAATCCTTTCTTACTTTCCAACAAGGCTGGTTTGAGCCTTCCTTATGGAAGTTCAGTATTAAAAACACTGCCTGGCCGGGCGCGGTGGCTCACGCCTGTAATCCTAGCACTCTGGGAGGCCGAGGCGGGCGGATTGCTTGAGCTCAGGAGTTCGAGACCAGCCTGAACAAGAGCGAGACCCCGTCTCTACTAAAAAAAAAAAGAAAAAGAAATTAATCGGCCAACTAAAAATATATAGAAAAAAATTAGCCGGGCATGGTGGCGCATGCCTGTAATCCCAGCTATTCGGGAGGCTGAGGCAGTAGGATCGCTTGAGCCCAGGAGTTTGAGGTTACCGTGAGCTAGGCTGACGCCACGGCACTCACTCTAGCTTGGGCAAAAGAGTGAGACTCTGTCTCATAAAAAAAAATAAAAAAAACAAAACAAAACAAAAAAAAAACACTGCCTATACATCTTCAGTTATGTTTCCCCGGGCTTGGAGGTTTGGTTGAAATTTAGATCTTCACCCAGCTCTAGATTTTTCGTCTTCCCTTATCACAAGGGCAGGTAAGGGTTCCTGGACCCAACTCACACATGTGGGCACATCTGGCAGGATGAGGGGGGAGCTGCTGAGGCAACCAGCTGAAGCGTAGCAAAGCGTCAGTACAGAAGGTGGGGTTGACGATGATATGTTCAAAT